TGACTATTTTACCAGTAGATTATAGTGTAAGTAATTCTGTATCAGTTTTTAAGCCCTAGTCTCTAGTGTCTGACAAGCTTCTATTTCCTGTCCCTTAGAACCTTCACTCTTGTAGCCTAACATCATGTTTTCAGGAAGCACAAGAAATCTTCAGAGAATCCATGCAGAGAGAAATCAAGGCTCCAAGCCAGCAGCCCCAGTTGAGTACAGAGCCAACAGTCAGCATCAACTTACCAGCCAAGTAAATGAACGACCTTAGAAGTGGATTCTTTAGCACCAGTTGAACCAAACCATCTGACCCTATATGTAGCACATACAAGTTGTTCCCACTGAGTTCTTCCAAAATGCAGATTCCTGTACAAAATAAATCGTTGTTATTTTAAGCAAAATGAATTTTAGTGTGCCTTGTAATGCAAAATTAATAACCAGAATATAATTTTTTATCTAAAATCAGTGCACTGTTATAATCAAAATTTAAAACATGTGGCATTAATTTTGGGTTTAGTGGTAGGAAGAACCTGTAAGGGTCTTCAGGAGTCTGTTACTAAGATCTGGAATGACCTTGAGGAGACTGTGGGAAAGGACTTGAAGGGAGAGAGAAATGTTATTAGCATTTGGTTATAAGAGGACACTTACTGTGCATCACTGGGAAGTTTGTCAGCACTGTCACGTGCCATAAACAAACAAAAAACCCACACCCATTGCCATTAAGTCTATTTGACTCATAGTGACCTTACAGGACAGAGTAGATCTGCCCTATATGGTTTCCAATGAGCTCCTGGTGAATTCAAACTGCCGTCCTTTTGGTTAACAGCCATAACTCTTTATCACTGCATCACCAGGGTTTCTGTCACATGCCATCGCCTGGAAAATAGAAAGAGTAATTAATAAACTAATGAGTCTGCCTGGGAAGATTCCTAGAAAGGTTATAGAATGCTCCAACCTATGATAAAACATGAAAAAAAAATAAACGAAAGAAAGTAATGTAAATTTTTGAGAAGAATTTAGAGGAAATAGAAAGGATACAGGACTTGTTGAGTTTAAAAATAAAGTTGTTTCTCCTCCCCAGTCTCTCCCAACAAAAATTATCAAATTAATAAATGTCTTTTGGGAAAAGATCAAATCCAAGGTGCTATCAGGACTCCATCACCTCAGGGTAAAGATCTCAAGAACATTGAAAACTATGCGTAATCAAACTTCTAAGTATCATAAGGGCATGTCTCATAAACCCTCTAAGTTAAACAATAGGATTTTTAAGATACTTAAAGGTGTAGGAAACCCTAGTGGTGTAGTGGTTAAGAGCTATGACTATCAATCAAAAGGTCAGCAGTTCAAATCTACCAGGTGCTCCTTGGAAACTCTTGAGCAGTTCTTGCTATGAGTCGTAAACAACTCAACAGCAACTGGTTTGCTTTTTTTAGTTTTAAGCGTGTTGTCATATAGCAGACTCACAAGTGGCTCATGATAAAAAAATAAATGTGACTGTGACTTTTGTCTAATGGAATTAATTACAAATTGATGCATAAGAAACTAACAAAAAATTAAAAGAATTATTTCAACCTGTGAGTTGGATTGACTAGACAGCAACTGGTTTTATGGCTGCTAAAGGGGACAAAGACAGTAAAAATGAAAAGAGAATTCTGACCACCCAACTTTCTTACATGGAAGAAACACGTTCAGAAAATTATTCATCTGCAGATATAGGTTATCTCTTAGGGATAAGAGAGGATAACCCAAAGGGTGGAAAAATATCGCAGAGTTTAGATCTAAGGGCTATGGTGAATCCTTTCCAGAAGTAGAACTGACTCTAATCAAAGGGTTGGAAACATGTTCCCAAATAGATTTCAAAATTGCTATGGACCACTGGGAGCCCTGGTGGCAAAGTGGTTAAGAGCTCAGCTGCTAACCAGGAAAATGGTTGGCAGTTTGAATCCACCAGCCACTCCTTGGAAACCCTATGGAGTAGTTCTACTCTGTCCTACAGGGTCGCTATGAGTCGGAATTGACTGGATGGCAAAGGTTTGGTTTGGTTTTTTTGGTATGGACCACTGATTGCTACGTGCCACCTTTCTCCCTTTTTTTTCCCAAAGGCAGTGTCTTTTGCAGATATCCAATGCTTATGTCACTATTGTATGTTGGCTGTATCAGGACCATTTAACTAGTCTTTTTAGTTAACAGGACCTCAGATTGAAATAAACTACACCTAAAGAGATTAATCTGCACTTGATTTAGACAGATCCTGGACCTTGAGCCTCAGACCACTGGATGTTGTAACTGGATGAGACTTTGGAGGGTCAAGAAAGGAGGTGAGTGTATAGTACACACGGGAAAAAAATGTAAATAATTTCTGATCAGAAGGAAGACTATATAGAATTAAAGGTAACCACCACAAATACCTTGATCTTCTTTCCATTGAGATGTGGGGTTTGTGGTATTTCCCCTCCCCTTGAATCTGGATGGGTCCATATGACTGCTTTGATTAACAGAATACAGTGTAGTGGTGCTATGCCTTAAA